TTCTCTTTGAAAAGTAAAATTATTTCATGGTATAGAATCCCTCCCATGCTGAGTACACTCCACTGTGCAACCTTCATTCAGGACTCTTGTCATAACTGTAATACCCAATCACATATCGCTTTCAAACAGTCCTCTCCCTCATCTGTTTCAATGCGGTATACATAATTTATCCAATTTTTCTCAATCTCACTTCAATCCTGATGTCAGTCCCATTCTACAATAGTGGCACCATGCAGCACCTGTCCTTTTGTGACTGAGATATTTCACTCAGCATAATGTCCTTCAGGGTCACCCATTTTTAGTAATATTGCATGAGTTCCTTGTTTTGCAACTCAATGTTCCATTGTGTGAATATACCACAGCTTCTCTATCCATTCATTTGTTGATGGGCACTTAGGTTGTTTCCAACTCTTTGCTATTATGAACAAAGCTGCAATAAACATGGGTGTGCATATATCTGCCTGGGTGGCAGTTATGGTTTCTTTAGGGTATATTCCCAGTAATAGAATGGCATTTCTTTTTGCAGCTTTCTGAGAGCATGCCATACCACCTTCCACAGTGGTTGCACCATTTTACACTCCCACCAACAGTGAATAAGGGTTCCAGTTTCTCCTCAACCTCGCCAGCATTTGTTGTTTGCTGCTCTGTTAGATTTTGCTATTCTTACTAGGATGAGGTGATAATCTCATAGTTGTTTTCATTTGCATCTTTCTTAGAGCTAGGGATTTTGAACATATCTTCATGTATTTGTTGGCCATTTGAATGTCGTCTTTGGTGAGTTCAGCATTTCTTAAGCTGAAGGAACTGAAGAACAAATTCAAGCCTCGAGATGCTTTACTTAAGGACGCTTTGGGTAGAATATTAAATGATCCAGGAAGCATTAAAGGAGATGGAAGGAGTATGTAGTGTCACTATACCAGAAAGAATTGGCCAACAACAGAAGAATTTCAGGAAATAATGTGTGAGCAAGAGCCTATGGAATTTGTGGCTTTGGGTAGGTTGAAATCGTGGCAGGTCCAGAAAGTGACATTCAATTCTAGTTCACTGGTATTTAAAAGTATTTCAACTCTTATCAGCTCACAGGTAGAATGAATTGTGTGCCGGCCACATATGGGGGCATTGCTTTGCTTGTTCTATACTCCAAGTTAAAGTCTAAAAACACTCTAGCTGTGAAAGCAACATAAATGAGATTCTAAACTGTTGACACTTCAACTGATAATTTGTCACACCTGTCGACCCTAACGTTAACTCATCATGTGATAATCAACTTGTACAATAAATTATGAACCTGGAAAAATAAAAGAGCCTATGCTGATGATGAATGTCCCTCCAATCCTGATGCCACATTCTTCTTCATAGAGTCCAGCTTCTCAGATCTTTTGCTCAGCATATAGCTTGAACAGGGATGGAGATAGAACACATCACTGATGCACTCCTTTCCCAGCTCCAAACCATGCAGTGCGCCGCTGCTCTGTTTGCACAGCAGCCTCCTGATCCAGGTATAGGTTCCTCATGAGCACAATCAAGTGCTCAGGGATTTCTATTCTTCTCAATGTCAGCCACAACTAGTCATGATCCACATAGTCAAATGCCTCACCAATAACCTGTGTTATGAAAATGACACAACCTTACTTGCCAAAAGGAGAACTTGAAGCACTTGTTGCCGAAGATCAAGAATGCAACCTTCAGTATGGATTACATTTCAATATCAAGAAAACAAAGATTTTTAACACTGGACCAATAGGCAGTGTCATGATGGATGGAGAAGAGAATGAAACTGTCAGCAGATTAATTTTGCTTGAATCCACAATTAACACCCTTGGTACTAGCAGTCAAGACATAAGGAGATGCATTGCACTGGGAAAATCTGCAGTTAGGGACCTTTCCAAATTACTGAGGAGGATTGATGTCAGTTTGAAGACTAAAGTGCATCTGATTCAGGCCATGGTCTTCCAGGTACTTGCTGTGCTTCCAAGAGCTGGACAGTGAATAAGATGACAGAGAAAGAATTGACGCCTTTGAGCTGTGGTGCTAGAGAAGAGCCTGAACATCCCATGGATGGCCAAGAGAACAAACAGATATGTCCTGGAGAGGGTGCAGCCAGAGTGCACTTTGGAGGCAGGAATGATGAGGCTTTGCCTCACATGCTTTGGACATGTTGCTAGGAGATGCTATTCCTTGGAGAAGGGACATGATGTCAGGAAAGGTGGAAGGAGAAGACTACGAAGGAGTCTGTAAGGAGAAGACGACCCTTAGCCAGGTGGATTGACACAGTGACTGCTGCAGTGGGCTCTTGTGTGTCAGGAAGTGTGAGGATGGCTCAGGACAGGATTGGGTTCATATCTTTTGTTCATAAGGTTGCTAGGAGTTTTACTCAACTGAACAGCACCTAACAATAACAACAACATGCTAATGAAGGAAAAAGTTCAAACTGCTCTGAAAGAATTGGCAAAAACAAGGCCCCAGGAATTAACAGCAGACCAATTGACATATTTCAACAAACAGACGTTGCCCTGGGTGTGCTCACCAAATTGTGCCAAGAACTCTGGAGGACAACCATGTGGTCATCTAATTAGAAGAGATCCATATTTGTTTCTATTCCAAAAAAAAAAGGTGATCTGACAGAGTGCAGAAATTATCAAACAATATTAATATCACATGCAAGCAAGATCCTACTGATAATTATCCCAAATGACTAGAACAGCACTTCAGTAGAGCACTGCCAGATGTGCAGGCTGGGTTTAGAAGAGGCCATAGTACTACCGATACTAGAGTTAATGTTAGATGGATCTAACATTAGATTAGGCTGAAAGCAGAGATTACCAGAGGGATGTCTGTCTCTGTTTCATTGACTTTGCAAAGGAAAGGCATTTGACTGGGTGGATCACAACAAATTGTGGCTAACCTTGAGAAAAATGAGAATCTCAGAGCACTTGCATGTCCTTATGTGAAAATTATACTTGGACCAGGAGACATTCATCAGAACAGAGCAATGAACTATGTGCATAGTTAAAAATCAGGAAAGGTATACACCAGGGATGCATCCTATCTCCATACCTTTTCAATTTATATATGGGGGAGATAATCCAGGAGGCTGAACTCTGTGAGGAGGAATGTAGCATCAGGATTGGAAGAAGACTCATCAACAACCTGTGTTGTGCTGGTGACATAATCTTGCTTGCCACAACTGAGGAGGACCTGACATTTGCTGCAGATAGTCAAGGACTGCAGCCTTCAATATTAATTGAAGCTAGATGTCAAGAAAACAAAGATTCTCCCCACTGGGCCAATTGGCAGCATCATGATAGACGATGAAGAGATTGAGTTTGTAAACAGCTTCAGTTTACTTGGCTCCTCAATCAGTACTCTTGGTACCAGCAGCCAGGAAATCAAGACAAATTGTATTGGGGGAAATCTGCTGTCAAGGACCTCTCTAGCGTACTGAAGATGTCAGTCTGGAGACTAAGGTGCATCTGATTCAGGCCATGGTCTTCACAGTTACTTGCTATGCATTAGAAAGTTGAACAGTGACTAGGGATGATAGAAGAAGAATTGATCCCTTAGAGCTGTGGTGCTGAGAAGAGTATTGAATAGACCGTGGACTGCTAGGAGAACAAACAGGTTCGTCTTGGAGAGGATGAAATCAGTCTATTGCTTGGAAGCAAGGATTCTGAAGCTCTGTCTTACTTTGGGCATGTTGCCAGGAGGGACCAGTCCTTGGAGAGGGACATCATGCTTGGGAAATTAGGACAACACAAGAGAGGAAGACCCTGGATGAGATTAATTCAGTTACTGGGGTAATGAGAATAGGTATGTCAGAAACAGTAAGGTTGGCTCAGGATAGAGCAGGGTTCAGAACTATTGTACATAGGATCGCAATGAGTTGCAAGTGACTCAGTGGCACTAACCAATTTATTAGGGAGCTCTGGTGGCTTAGTGGTAAGGAATTGGACTGCCAACACGAAGGTACTAAGGTTCAAATTCACCAACTTCTCCCTTGGAGAAACATGGGCTATCTCCTCCCCAGGCAACTTATTGACTCTGAAAACTCTGGAGGGTTGATTATGGGTCCATGGTACTAATAAATTGTATTAGGTTACATACAGAGTTGTTGTGTACTGTTAATTCAGAACTAACTCATAGCTGACCCTCCAGCAGGCTTTGAGAAGCAGTATAATTGCATGAAAGGAGATTGCCCTATGGTCCTTCTGTGGAACAGCAAAAGGATTCAAACTGCATGCTTTTGAGCTGGCAGGGCAGCTTCTGTATTACATTAAATAACAGCAACAGTCCAACATCTGGCCAAACCAAGAAAATCACAGCAGAACCAAGTTGACACAAAATTTACCATCACACATACCAAAATGAGCTCAAATGACAAAGTCCTGGGCTAAGAATATAACAAAGGAAATAACCATGGAGAACCAGATTGTTTTATGGGAAAAGATTTAAATAGATCCAGAAGAAACCAGATGTTTTTGTTTTGTTTATTTTGTTACTTTGATGGAAATATTTAAGCACCTGTGTCAGGACTGTGTCTAACATTCAAATGATTATGAACCTGTGACCAGAGTAGAGAAATTGAGCTTTGGTTAGAGCAACAGTTGGCTAAACAGTATAAGCTTTAGCATGTAGTCTAAAACAGGACTTTGAGCAAATAGTGAAGTCTTTGAATGAAGAACTTTTTATTAAATGATGGATTGGAAGGACAGAAATATGAACAACAGAACAGTGAAATGATTTTTGCCATGTTTCAGATTGGCAGTCATATTGAACATAAAGTTGGGGGGAATATGAGAAACCATTTGAACAGAGAATCAATAGGATTTCACAAGTGACTAATTATAGGAAGTAAAGGACAGACCCTGTGGTAAACCAAGTGTCCTTTCTAGTATCTAAGACTATAATACCAACATTAAAAAGTTCATTTTTTATTTAATGAACTTATGTTTTGTTTTGAAATATACCTATATTCTGATATTTTTTCCCTTTGTTTTTAGGCCGTATTAGGAATAAGGCTGAGGTGGATGAAGCTGCAGTTGATGCCATCCTTTCCTTAAATATTATCTCTGCCAAGTACCTGAAGTCGTCCCACACCTCCAGCAGGTGAGGCCCCGAAGGAGGATGATGATGTCAGTCCCTGTGGAGCCAACTGATAAACTATTAAGAGTCTGCATTCCCTAGTGACTTGTATCTTAGATTGAGAAATGAATCCTCTTCTCACATCAAACTGCCCTATTTTCTTGTTACCCATCCCATTCTAAAAAATATATATACGTAATAATAATTAGAGCTGTATTTATAATTATGACCGTTATCTTTATAGTGTGAAAATGTTTTATCCTGTGTGGAATTTTGAATAGCTATGATGCAATAATAAAGCAGACAAAACTCAGCAGGATGCTACCCAAGGGCTTAAAAGTACAAACTAAGTAATTACTGTGACTAAATGTTTTCCTATGAAACAGTTGCTGTGGAGAAAGGTTATCATGCTCCTGAGTCTCCTGGGAACGTACCCTCCCATGTATAAGGGAAACCTCTTGTGTTTAGTCATTACTGCTTCTAGTTTAGACCCAGTTATCCTCAGTATTTTTTTTATTTATACGTAAAAATGATAAATTAACGTAAGCTCTTCTAAGACTGGCTGCTTTAAGTAATTTTAGTTTTCATTTTAATTTGTCTTAAATTCTTGCTGCATAAAGAAGTACCATCCTCCTTTGTCGTGTAAGAGGCCCTCACCCGGGAAAGGGGTCGTGTCAGATGTTTATACAGATAGGATTTCTTTCTATGGTAAGGGCTGGGGAGCAGAAGTGTTCTCCTGTGGGCTTTGAATACTTCCTTTGCACAGCATTTTCCTGTTCTTCTGTCTGCTCCTAAAAAACGTGCTCAGGTTGTATGTTGGGAGGAGGCAATGGAGAAATAAGACTTAGAAATAAGAAATAGAAACAGTCAAAGGAAATTTTGGACAAGGATTCATTTCTTTCTTTCTGTTGTTTCCTTGTATCATAGGTTTTTTTTCCTAGAAGGGAGAAAAAGGAAACAAACATTGTTAACGTGCAAAATGGTCATATAGTAGTAGATTTTCATCAGGAAAACTGATGAAATATAAGGGGGGGGGGATCTACCTCTGTTTCTATAGAAAAGAAATTGAATATTTTAGAAAGGTATAATGGTGAGTTACTTTTAAAAAAATACCAGTTGTTAAAATAAGACTGGATTAGACAGATGTGAAAAGTTATCAAAAGTTAAAGGATTGAGCACTTAGGTTTTCTTCTCAGGTTTCCAGTTCTCATTTCACCAGACTGAAAACTATAAATGAGAAACTGTGGGTGGTGGTAGTTGTGTGCTTTCAAGTCTGAACCAATCCATAGCTGGCCCTACAGCGGGTTCAGAGCTGTGATTTTGCAAGTAAAATGATTCTAAGTTGAATAAATGACCCTGTAATTAAAGAAATGGCTCTGGCCCTACATAAGAGCTTGACAAATGAATGTAAACTTAGTATAAAATAGAAAAATGTTGAATGTGTGCATCTTTTTATCATTCTTGAGAGAATTTTAAAAATTAACTATTAACAAGCTCTTAACAGGTAAGGTAACAAATTGATCATCTCCTCCTGAGCACTTAACCAGCTTTTGGGCATGAACCAAAGGACTTTCTGTTTTTTTGGTAGTTAAACCATGATTTTTTTTTTAAACCATGATTTTATTGCTCAAGTACACAAAGACAAATTTATGCAAGCAGGGCAGAGGCTGTTGTTGTTTGAAAGCATCTTGAAAGGAACAGGAAGGATAAGGATGCTAAATTCTGTCTGATCCTGATTGAGAGCCAAAAAACTTTTTATTTTAAATAAAATTTTTATTTTATTCTGGTTTACTTGCAAAGTTTGTATGCATTCTTTTTCACCAAAAGACTTTTTGAGGTTATAATAATGTAAAAAAAATCACAAACTCAACTGTCATTAAGTCAGAACTGACTCAAAGCTGACCCTCCAGTGGGTTTTCAAGGCTGTAAATTGCACAGGATATTCCCATCTTTCACTCACCCGCACAGCCTCAGCTAGATGTGAACAGAGAAGTGTTTTTTAAATAATTTTTTTTCATTGTTGAACATTTTCTTTCCCCCCATTCTACAGTGCACCCCTTTTTCCAGATCATTGTCATATATCGTTGTCATTGTTGTTGCTCTGTACTGTTGAGTAGGAACTGACCCATAGCTGATCCTCCGGCAGGTTTTCAAAGGCAGTTAATCACACAAGAGGAGATTGCCCATCCTCTCCAGTGGAACAACTGGTGGATTCAAACCAAGTGCCTTCAGGATTGCAATGCAGCTTCTTGGCACTGTAATTTAGATATATATTATGTTCAAAAAAATTCAGACTATTGTCGAGTTAGTACCAACTCATAGCTGACCTCCAATAGGTTTCCAGAGGCTATAAATAGCTCAGGGAAGAAATTGCCCTTGTTTCGCCTATTAAACAACTGGTGGATTCGTGCTGCCTGCTTTTGGGTTGGCAATGCAACTCCTTACCCACTAGGCCACCAGAGCTCCCCGTGTGTGTACTTGTTGTTGTTCTATGCTGTCAAATCAAAACCAACTCACAGCTGAACCTCCAGCATGTTTTCAGAAGCTGTAAAGTACACAAGAGGAGATTACCCATCTTTCTCCCGCAACTCCTTACCACTTAGCCGCACGAGCTCCCTGTTGTATGTCAGAGGCATTTCTCCTGATAGACTGACAGTGGACTAAAACAAAGGCCAGTACTTCTTTTCATCCCAGACCATGTTAATGTTAACAACTGACTTGACTTTCTCCTAACTTCACAGCAACTTCTGCCATTCATAATATTAAATAATATCTAAAATAACTATTAGAGGTGGTTTTCTTCTATGCCCAGCATGATCCTTCATTGAATGTCTCTAGAGAGAAACCCATGCCATTGTATGCCTGTGTCAACTGTCCACCGGAGTCTCTGTTAATTGTCTGTTTTAATTCGTTTTGCTTATCAGTGGATTAGTCCCTTTTTTTCTCTTTGCCTTTTTCTTTCTTCTTTGTGCCAAACTAACAAAAGCCTTTTCTATGTTTTGCAGGCTCTTTCTTGATAAGGATATTCCTAGGTATTTTCTGTTTGCTTTTTTGCACATACAGAGTTGAGTGTAATAGACTGCTTTATGTTGCTTTGATTCCCATTTTTGTGCATTTTCCCCCCATGCAAACCTAAGCTATACCTCAACCAGCACAATACCTTCATTTTTTTTTGTTTTATACAGTATTTGTTTTTTTTATTATTAATTTGAATGAACATTTACAGCAATTGTGGATTTCCATTCATTCTTGTTGCACTTTTCTCCCCCCCCACCCCACCCCACCCCACCCCCACCCCCAGTTCACTCTTCATTGGTATACAGTCCCCCTGCACCCTCCCACCCTCACCCCGAGTATACCTTATTTTTACTCCTAGGACACTTCTTTATGCCCTGGGTCTGTCTATCGTACATACAGTTCAGCTTCTTAAATGATTTGTAGAGTTTTGAGTTGTTTTCTTACTCCATTCACTAAACTGTTCATTTTATTCTTGTGTCCCCTGCCCTCGCCAGATTTCCCTTGCCCATGTTACTAAGTAGAATGTTTCTCCTGTCATTTCAGTGTCTTGGGCTTTGTTTCTGGTCGTTGTCATCTCTGTCAAAAGCTTAAAGATGTCTTGCCCTGCAGCTTAGCCTCTTTGTTTACTTCTTACCTTGTCTTGTCCTGTACAGTCGTAGAGACCACTTTAGTTATTTGACTAGCTGAGTCTGTGAGGAACAGCTCATCTAATTTTAAAATATTTTTCTTTGTGTTATTAGAAATTATTTGCTTAATATCTTCTTTAGAAGTTGGGTAGAAAAATAATAGTTATGAAGTGAAGGAAATTTTTCTCTGATTACAAAAGAAAACTAAAGAAAATGATACATATAATATAGCCTAAAATGTTTATAAAAATGCATATGGTTAGTAAAACTGACTTATTTCATTTTAGACTGATGTCATCAATGTAATGCATATATTTCAGTCTGAACTGTGCATTCTGTCCACATTTCAGAAGGTCTCCTAATTGACTCTCTTTAGAAGGTCAATCAGCCATGACTGTTAATGTAAAAAGCTTGTTTTTAAACTACTCAGCATTAACATAGTCAAAAGAATACATCCTACAAGATTATCATTGAAACCTATTTCTCTAATGATGATACTGGGGTCCAGAATATCTTGAGAAATCCATTTAGAACCATCTCCTAAGCTCTTAAGGAACCACTCTTAAGACCATTCTTTTTTTTTTCAATTTTTAAAAAATTTTATTTTATTCTATTATTTTGTGTGTGTGTGTGTACCATCAAATCAGATTTGACTGGTACAGGAGGAAATTGTCCCTCCTTCTCCAGCAGAGCATCTAGTGGATTCAAACCACATACCTTGGGGATTGCACTGCAGCTTCTTGCCACTAGGCCACCAGAGCTCCCTGCTTAAGACCCTTCTTAAAGGATCTCTTGTGGCCTAGTGGCAAGACCTGCACTGCAATCCCAAAGGCACCCAGTTCAAATCCACCAGCTGCTCTGCTGGAGAAGGAGGAGCAGTTTCCTCCTATGCCAGTTGGATCCTATTAATGGTACACAACAACAACAACAAAAAGACCACTCTTGTAGTCTTGTTTTTCACCCTAAATTCTGTTGCCAAACTTGATTTTTACCAGTTTTATTTCTCTTTACTAAAATCACCTTTCAGTAGTTGTCACCATTTGAGAGGATTCTGAAAAAAAAGGGCTATATAACTAAAAAAAAAAACAGAAAAAGTTTTCCTAACATCCAGACATTTTAGTGGGACCAAAAAAATTCATCATCCTTCGTGTTGACAGAATGTCTACTAGTGAAAATTTCTCTTTGATATCAGTGTCAAACCTGAAAACAGAAATGAAATGTAAAAGAAGTTTTCTTAAATGAACTCAAAATACCTGCTTCAGTTGAAAGGTGGCATGAAGAGGTACTGCTGTGCTTTGGTTTAGAACTTAATGAGTCACAGATTACAAGCAGCTTTGACAAGAACTTGTACCAGGCATCACCACTGATGTGCTCTGCTTCTATGATGGGACAGGTAGGTCTCATGCCAGGGTACATTGAAAATGCAGTGAAAGAGCAGAGAGTTGATGCTCACACTTCAGTTCTGCTAACGTAGTGAATAGCATCATCAAAACCTAGAATTCCACTGAAACCAAATCAAAGTGAAGATCTAAGCAGAGCTCTGTGGAATTAATGGTTTCCTGCTGAACCCACTGCTCAGGAGCTGTGGACAGACTCCCATTGCCCTTCAATACAGTTGCTTGTTAGCCATCCTGACCACTTCATGCCTGTGTCTTGTTGTTGCTCACTGACTGATGTCTAGAGTTTTATCTAACACAGTTCCTGCCTCAGAAGCTAGACTTAGGTCTTAGAGAAACTACAAAATTAAAATGACATGACTTTACACGCTATCATTTGGAAAATGAGGAGTTGGAAGTCAAGAAGTTCACTTTTGGAAATTATTTCTTTTTCCTCTGTGATAGTTTCTGGAGAGAGAACTGTGAGAATGTGTTGAGAAACAGGATGTGCCAGCCATTTGTCATTAGAAGTCTAGAAAAGGCAGTACAGTCAGGTTATAATTTTGAAAGGAATAAGGGTGCAGGTGCTGAACAGGGTACAGTTGTGCAGACACTCCATTTGAATCAAGTGCACTGTACAGCAACATCTGAGGGGGAGAGGTAGTGGTGATGGAAAATCCTCTTTGCTAGGGTGTCCACAATGTCTCCCCAACACTTAGCAGAGATCTAACACTGCTGTTCAACTTGGTTCAGTAGTTCAGATGAGATTTGAATTTGAAGGTTTAACTAGGTAGGGTTTGTGGTATTCTACCAATAGGGAAAAAGATAATAAAAAACTTTAAAAAAGAGTATGTTGTTGTTGTTGTTATATGCCATCGAATCAGAACCAACCCATTGCTGACCCTCCAGCGGGTTTTCCGAGGCAGTTAATTGCATGAGAGGGGAGATTGCTCACCTTTCTCCAGTAGAGCATCTGGTGGATTCAAACCACATGCTTTTGGGATTTCAACAGCATCTTACCACTAGGCCATCAGAACTCCCAGAAGAGTATATGATGATGTTGTGTACCATCGAGTCAGAACCGAGCCATATCTGACCCTCCAGTGGGTTTTCAGACACAATAAATCACATGCAGGGAGATTGCCCACGCTTCCGCAGAGCAGCTGGTGGTCTCAAACCTAGTGAGATTGCAGCGTAGCTTCTTAACACTAGGCCAGCAGAGTTTCCTAAAAAGTATATAAACTTTTCTCAAGTTAAGCTTTGTTACTTAAATGTAAGGTTGATTTTTTTCCAATAGAATTTTGGAAAACTAACACTGATGGGCTTGCCTAGCTCTGGTGTTTAAAATGTGTCCTATTAATGGAACATCAGTTTATAGCCATTTTATTAGCTTTTAGTTATACCAGGGCACTCTCTCTCTCTCATTCCTCTGTCTGTGTCTACTGGTAAGCCTCCCAGATAAGTGTGTGCGTTTTCTTAGCCTCAGCAGAAGTAGGGTTTTCAGTGTTCAGAACTCTTAATAGGAAACAGAAGCTTACCAATTACTGAACATTTTCTTCCTGCTCTTGTCACAGGCTGTCAGGACAGCTTGCTTTGTCTGTCTGTCTTCCTTCAGTCATTTATCCCTTCCACCTTAAACCCTTTAATTGATCTCACTATTTTTAATTTTTACAGTAAGTGCTCCTGGATGATGTGTGGAGACAGGAGAAAAGGGGAATCTTCCTCTGGGATATAAGGATTCTGTTTGATTTTGATGTGTTGAGAGTATTGGTGGATGTTAAAATTCTGTGTCTTTAATGACAGTGACAGTGTCTGAACTAAGGTACTGTCATTTTCTTTTAGATGAATGACTGCTCTGCTCTTTCTCACCTTTAGGACCTTCTACCGCTTTGAGGCCGTGTGGGACAGCTCCCTGCATAACTCCCTCCTTCTGAACCGAGTGACTCCCTATGGAGAAAAGATCTACATGACCTTGTCTGCGTACCTGGAGGTGAGGAGCCTGAGGCTACAGTGACTAAAGAATGGCCAGCCCTGATCCGGGGGTAGCTTCCAGCATGCAGTGCTCAGGGAAGATCGGACTTATTTTTCCTCATTGCCTCATATCTTTAGGCACTTCCTTTTAGTAGCCTCTACAAACTGTTCTGATTCTAGTAGAGCTATTCTTATTTGCTGTTTAATCAGCAAGTCACATGATTTTCATTGTAACTTCAGCTTTTATAGTTTAGGAGCCTGGTGGCTCCTTGAAAGGTCAGCACTGTGAGCTCACCAGCCGCTCTATTGGAGAAATATCTGGCAGTCTGCTTCTGCAGAGATGTGCAATCTCAGAAACTCCAGGCCCCGCTCTGCCCTACAGGCTTGCTAAGAGTTGGAATTGACTCCAGGGCAGTAGGTGGCTTTTGTAATCTATCCACTGGTCTTCAAAGAATTTATGGGTATTTTTGAACACTCTTGGCTCCAGCAGCCAGGAAATTAAAAGATGTATTGCAATTGGAAAGTCTGCTGTTAGAGACCTCTCCAATGTACTGAGGAGCAGTGATGTCAGTCTGGAGACTAAGGTGCACATTATACAAGCCGTGGTCTTTGCAGTTACTTGCTATGCATCAGAAAGACAATGACTAGGGATGATTGAAGGAAAATTGATGCCTTTGAGCTGTGGTGCTGGAGAAAAGTATTGAATATACCATGGACTGCTAAGAGAACAATAAATTCATCCTGGAGAGGGTTAAACCAGACCACTCCTTAGAGGCAAGGGTTCTGAAGCTTGATCTGACATACTATGGACACGTTGCAATGAGGGACCAGTCCTTGGAAAGGGACATTATGCTTGGGAGGGTGGAGGGACAGCACAGTAAAGGAAGACCCTCTGTGAGATTCAGTGACTGGGGTAATGGGAATAGGTGTGTTGGAGACTGTGAGATTGGCACAGGATAAAGCAGGGGTTAAGGCTGTTGTACATAGGGTCACAGGCAACTCAATGGCACATAACAACATTTTTTTAAGACACTATCACCTCTTGTTGTTGTGCACAGAGGTTAGTAATAATTAACAGCACAGACTTTAAGCACTCTTAAGTTCAAATCTTTGTGTGTCCTTGGACAAATTACTTCACCTTTCTGTGCTTCAGTTTCCTAACTGCTAAAACAGATTGATTTACCTTGGAAAGTTGTTGAGAAGTTATATAAAAGAGTTTAGAACAGTCATTGGCATATAATAAAAACTCAGTAGATATTAACTATTATTGTTACTGCAGCTGGGGAAAAGAGAAAAGTAAATCCATCTGCAAGCAATTCCACTAGCGTACACATAATCCTCATAGAGTTGCTGTTGCAATGGTTGATGGGTCTGCAGCCCTGCAGCCCCCATGCCTGTGACTAGCTTTCCACTGCCTGCCTGTTCACTGAGACGCGTTCCCGTTTGCCTTCAGCTGGATCACTGCATTCAGCCAGCCGTCATCACCAAGGACGTCTGCATGGTCTTCTACTCCCGAGATGCCAAGATCTCACCACCACGCTCTCTGCGCAGCCTCTTTGGCAGTGGCTACTCGAAATCTCCTGACTCGTAAGTCATTGACACAAGTTTAGTTTCTAGTTTATTTGCCCGTTGTGGAAGCGGTAGTCCTCTAGGTACTTCGGCTCACTATTTCAAGGTTAGTTTTACTGTCTGTAAACCATCTTGGTAACTGCTACCTAGAGTGCAGTGGCTTAAATGTTGGGATTTATTAAAATGGTGATGGATGGATGGATGAATTAATGGATAAAAGAAGAAATATTGTGAAGCTATTCAAAGCAATTTTTTAAGAAATAAATATTCTTTTCATGTCATTATTCTTATTTCTAATAAAATACCACTGAGGTTTTCTTCTTTCTAGGGTTTGTTACCTATGTTTAAGGTATATAAGTCTTATCAAGAATAATACAGTGAATATCTGTGCATCACCATTCAGCTTAAAAGCAATTACATATTATTGTGCATTCAAATATTCTTAAGTCCCCTTTCCTACTGCTCATGCCCCCAGAGTTTGTGTTTATCATCTCACAAGAGCCTAGATTTCTTTCCCTCAAGCCTTTTCTCTTATGATTCAGAAAGGCACATGTTTCTTTTTCACACTTGTCTTACAGTTAATAGTTTAGCATTTCATTTTCTTTTTTTCATGCTGTTGAAATTGGAATGTTCAAACAATGAAATGAAGAGTGGCTCCTTCAAGAAAATACCCTTATTAAATTCAGAATTAGAGGAAAAGAACAGTCCCTTATGAGAAATGTGTAGATTGCAGTCCCTACAGAAGACATAGTGCCTTAGGTAGAGAGAATTGAGATCTTCCTAGTTGTTTGGTTTTTTATTGTGATTTTAAGTTTACAGAAAAGTTTTTTTTCATTCATTCATTGTTGCATTTTTTTCCTCCCTCCCCAGTTCACGTTCTTTATTTTTTTCGTAATATTTTAATACAAATACAAGCCAAACTTAATTTTTTTTAAGTATTAAATTATTAATTTTAATGAAAATTTACAGACTTTGGATTTCCATTCATTCATTGTTGCACTTTTCTCCCTGCCAACATCTTCCCCCCCGCCCCCAGTACACTCTTCTCTTTGAACAGTAAAAGAAAAATTCTATCATTGTTTTACAATCCCTCCACCTAGGTCCACCCTACTATGCAGCCTTCGTTCTGGACTCCTGTCATTACAATAATACCAAATCACATATCTCTTTTAAACAGTTTTCTCCCTCATCTGTTTCAATGCATTAAATACTATTTACCCCATCTTTCTCATTCTCCCCCTAACCCCAGTGTCAGTCCTGTTCTACAACAGTGGCACCAGTGGCACCATACAGTATTTGTCCTTCTCTGACTGAGATACTTCACTCAGCATAATGTCCTCCAGAGTCACCCATTTTGAATAATATTGCATGACTTCCTTGTTTTTCAATGCAGCATAGTATTCCATTGTGTGAATATACCACAGCTTCTCTGTCCATTCGTTTGTTGATCTCTTTCTCTATTTTTTTAAATATTCATTCATTGTTGCACAATTTCCTCCCTTCCTTCCCCTTCCCCCAGTCCACTTTGTGATGCACCTCTTATGCTGGACTGCTATCATATATAGAATGCCTAGTCATATATTCCTTTTAAACAGTTCTTTCCTACATCTGTTCCAATGACGTGTCCATTATCCATCCCATCTTTTCCTGGTTTCCCCTCAACCTCCCATATCAGTCCCACTTTTTAACAGTGGTGTTAAGTAAATAGTATTTGTCCTTCTGTGACTGAGATATTTCCCTTAGCATAATGTCCTCCAGAGTCACCCATGTTATGTAATGTTTTGCGAGTTCCTTGTTTTTCATTGCTGTGTAGTATTCCATTGTGTAGACATACCCTAGTTTTTTGTCCATTCACTTGTTGATAGGCACTTGAGTTGCTTCCATCTCTTTGCTGTTGTGAATAACACAGCAATAAAAATGGGTGTTTGGTAGGCAGCTCTGGTTTCTTTAGGGTATATTCCCAGTAGTGGGATTGCTGGGACAAATGGTATTTCTATTTCCAACTTTTTGAGAAAACACAGACCACCTTGCATAGTTTTTAAACCATTTTACACTCCCACCAGTAGTGAATAACGGTGCTAGTCTCTCCACAACCTCGCCAGCATTTGTTTGCTGCCCTGTTGAACTTTGCTATTGTTGCTAGAGTGAGATGATGTCTCATAGTTGTTTTGATTTGCATCTCTCTGATAGCCATGAAGACCTTCCTGGTTTTACTCTATACAAAATTAAGTCTTTTTTTTTTTATGGTTTTTTTCCCCCTTTCTTTCAAACAGCAATCGAGTCACTGGAATTTATGAACTCAGTTTATGCAAAATGGCAGACACCGGTAGTCCAGGTAAGCTCTTAGAGCCTAGGAGTTGAAGGATTGTCACTGCATATCTGTGAGAGATATTTAAAAATTAGGGAATCTATAGATTAAGAATATTTTAAAAGCCATGTATGTATGTATATATGTATTTTATGAGCTCATATTTTTAGTGGCAGTAGTTGTGGGAGTTAGCTTTTTCAGAGTTGCAACATTACTATAACATGCATTACACACATCCTCTCTCATGCGTATTGCTGTCAGGTTGAATCTGACTCATAGCTGACTCTGCGATGGGTTTTCAGAGGCTGTAAATCTTATGGGAGGAGATGGCCTATCTTTCTCCCACAGAGCAGCCAGCGCATTTGAACCACTTGCCTTTGGACTGGTGGTGCAACTCCCCATCCACTAGGCCTCCAGCGCTCCCTTGACATTCAGTACAGTTATAAAAATTATATTGAACAAGTATTGCTGAGCTCTGAGATACTACTTAAAAATCTGAATGAATTAGAATTCATTGTCTTGAACAGTTTGATAAGCATATCTCTTTTTCCCCCCCCAAAGATAATTTGGTGGCATAACTTTAAGAATTTTGATCTTTTGAAAGATAAACTGTTAAAGTCAGCATGCTGTGACTTTTTTCTCTTTGTTTGGACAGCTGTCCTTCCTCCAGCACTGTGGGTTTCAGTACTTTGTGTGTCTGTGCTTGCAGACCGCAAGTGACAGTCTGGAGGATTTGTGTGGTGTTTAAACATTTGATTAATTTCATTTAAATCATTAGGGGAAATGTACAGAAAAGAGGTCAGGTTCTCACAGGAAATACTTAGATAAAAAAAGATAACTTTGAGTATGGTTCCAAGTCTCAATCACAGCTAATTATAGTGGTCAGTTACCTCGGGAAATATAAATTAATGTACATTCATATGTTTTCTGTGTAACCAGTTTAACATTTAAAAAAGGAAATAGGAAGATGAAAGGGCAGAAGCCACCTGTAATGTGCCATCCAGACGTGTGCGTGGATGACCCTGCTCACTTTTTTCATGAGTGTGTTTTTACCTATTTCAAATCCTACTGCATAGAATATTTTCTCATATATTTTTACCTGTTATAAATATCACATTTTCTCAAGTTACACTGCAGTCATCATCATAAATTAAGAACGTAAAACTCAGTTAAGAAATGGAATTGTTTTTGGAGAAGAAGAATGTGTTTATAGCAAAATCTCATGTATTTTGATGCCAAACTACGTGAGTTTGCCATGTGTATGGATTATTAACTTATTTTGAGCTAAAATTGGAATTAAGATTTTTCTAAATAAAATCCGTTTTGTTTTAGGCATGCAAAGGAGGAGAAGGAAGATCTTGGATACGTCAGTGGCATATGTCCGGGGAGAGGAGAACCTAGCAGGCTGGCGGCCCCGCGGGGACAGCCTCATCCTTGAGCATCAGTGGGAGTTAGAGAAGCTGGAGCTCCTCCACGAGGTAAACCAGAACTCAAATGTAGCACTTCCGTGGTACTCCCCACATGAAACCTTATATTAGAGGCTGGCTTGCTTGCTTGCTTTCTTTCTCTCTCTCTCTCTCTTTCTTTCCTTTTATATATATATATTTACACAAAAAGCAATTGCTTTATTTTAAGGAAATGTACATCTCACAAAGGTGTACAGGTTGGAGGTTCCCCCAGTCCGTCTATTTTGATAGACACCAGAATGAAACTGGAAATTCTAATTGAGCATATAAAATGCAAAGGTATCCCACATGCCAGATCTTCATGTATCTATCACTTAATATGACCCAATGCACCTTACCATTTTATTTTCAGGAACATGACTTGAAGTAGTCAAGAAGTTCACAAACACTTGCCTTTACCTTCACGTAAGCTAGTGATTTGGGGGAGGTCTCTTCTCTTCCTAGGGCAAGGAATTACATTTCCAGCTGTGAACTTCCAGCATCTCTCCTGAATCGTGTATACTGAGAACCAGGCTTCCCTCTAACAGCAATTCAGGGGGGTCTGGTGCAACACCCCCATAGCAGGTAGCACCCTCTGACCTCCTCCATGGCCTGGCTGTAGAGGCCTAATATTTTGCTTAGTAAAGTCTTCATGAAGTTTGTGTTTGCTGAGGCAGTCATGTTGGTCTTCTCAGGTGGAGAAAACCCGGCACTTCCTGCTGCTGCGTGAACGACTTGGTGACAGCATCCCCAAATCCCTGAGTGACTCACTGTCCCCTAGCCTCAGCAGTGGAACCCTCAGCACCTCCACCAGCATTTCCTCTCAGATCTCAACTACCACCTTTGAAAGTGCCGTCACACCCAGTGAGAGTAGTGGCTATGACTCAGCGGACATTGAAAGCCTTGTGGACCGAGAGAAAGAGCTGGCAACCAAGGTGTGAATCCCTTCCTCTTTGCCCAGTGTTTTCCTGCTGTTAGATTCTGTGACCAGACTTTCCGTTTATCTGTTCTCGGTACATTTCTTCTCTGAGCCTCCATTTCACAGCCTGTGATAACCCTATGGCTACAGAATTAATTAAGATTCCATTTTTGCCTTGAATAAGTGGACAGCCAGTGGGACAAAGTTTATAGACTAGTGGGTGACAAGAATGTGATAGAGGTGTTCATGGAAGGTGATGGGAGCCCATGAGAGGCCTCCCAAGAGTGGACTCATGGAAGATGCAAGGGTTGGGGGCCAACCAGCAGGCTGAAAATGAAAAGGGATATATGGTTGTATTCTTAAGGAATTTCTAAACTATAGTGTTGGAAGAATTCACTTTTGTGTCTTAAGGAGGACATTTTTATCTACCTGTTTTATCATATACCTTTGTCAGACTTCCTTGCTATATGCTTGTTACTGGGTGTTTGGGCAACAAACTGCCTTGTGGATCTCAGTGTCCTCCTCTTCTCTCCTACATTGTGATCATTTAGCTGTGGAAATTTTGTGTTCCATTTACACCCTTCTCTATCTTCCCTAGTGCCTGCAACTTCTCACTCACACTTTCAACCGAGAATTCAACCAGGTCCATGGGAGCATCAGTGATTGCAAAGTGAGTATATTGACTGGTTTTCAGCAAGCATATTAGTAACTAATTTCTCTACAGCTTCTCTGATCTCCTTTCCCCCAGATAACGTGGCTTTTAGGTGGTGTCTTAGTTCTGTAGTACTGCTATAACAGAAATACCACAAGTGGTGGTTTTAACAAAGCATTTTTTTTAAAAAGTCTCAAGTCTAGGGTGCCAACTCTGTAGGAAGGGGTTTTTTTCCCTCTCTTTTGAGTCTAGGAGTTTACCAGCGTCAGGTAAAACACCATATTCCACGCCCAGACTCTTCTTTCAGGTTGCAGTAGATCCACAGCTCTGTGCTTGCTTCTCTCTCCTTTAATCTTTTACAGGATAAAAGGTGGTGAAATCTATACCCCAGGGAAATGCCCCTTGTATCAGTCACACCATGGCCGTGACAGGATTTAAGGGTGTGTGGCTCACCCATGCTTTATTGCCTGCCTTGCATCAGGACTGACTGGGGCAGAGCACATGGTGCAGGATGATTACATTGTTCCCTAACTGTCACACCAGAATCATGGCCTAGCTGAGTTGACACGCTCTGGAGGCAGAGAGTGAGAGGGACACACTTCCATCCATGTCAGACATCAGCTCAAGATGGTCATACCGTGCTCGCTTTGGCAGCACATATACTAAAATTGGAACGATACAGAGAAGATTAGCATGGCCCCTGCGCAAGGATGACACGCAAATTCGTGAAGCGTTCCATATTTTCGACCCTGAAATGAACCAGTCTGTAACGAAGGCTAATTCCTAACTCCTTTCACCTACAAATTTCGTCTTTGGATACAAAGCTAAGTGGATAGTCCTTACCGAGGGACTGTTTCAAAAAGAGGCAGGGAGAAGAAGAGAAAAAAAAAAAGATGGTCATACCATCTTACTGAAAAATTGTGATACATCTGCTCTTAAGTTTATCTCAATTTTTCAGTCAGGACACTGGTTAGAGTATTTGTCAATAGGGAACATTATTGGTTTGCATACAGTAATTTATATACATTGTATATAACTAGTTACCATTGACCTATTAAGGGCCTGTTAAGACCCTTTCTTCTTGGGTCCACCCTGATTCTTTCCTATTGTCACCCCTTCCCACCCCATTTCTTTTTCTAAATTTATACACATCCTACTAGTTACTCTTATTTTTTACGATAATTGTCTTATACAGTATTTGTTGTTATGGAACTGAGTCCACTCAGCACAATGCTTGCTGTCTAAACGATTCCATGTTGTACGATATTTTACAGAACCATTGTTTCCTTAGTGCTGCATAACATTTCATTGTGTGAATGTTCCACAATTTCCCAGTCTATTATTTCAGGGTGGGTTTTTTTTAATTGTGGAAAATATTAAGGTAATACAAAGTAGGCATGATTGGTGAAAGATAGATAGGCCGTGTGGAAGAGCTAAAGAGAAAAGAAAACACAGGGGGAGCAAGACCCCTAGAAGGTCATGAGTGGAACCAGACCTGATGGCGTGCTGCCGGGAGGAGGGAGGAATCCATTTGTTTGTTGATGGGCCTTTGGGCTGGTTCAATTCTCTGGTAAATAATACTGCTGTGAGCAGTGTGCATATCTCTGTTCATGTCTTAGTTCTGATTTCCTCAGGGCATATTCCTAGCACTGCAGTATTAGCTGAGACATACAGAATTTCTGTGTTCGGTTTTTTGAGGAAACATCAAACTGGCTTCCAGAGTGATTGTAGAAAACATTCTTACTTCTCCTTAAATCTCTTAGAGAAGAATATAAGGTATTATGTCAAGATTATAAAGACATTTAACATTCCTGGTGGCATGACATTTTGTTGCCTCACCAGAGCAAAGTGTTCATACTTGTAGAATTTATGCATTTTATTCTGTTCTAGACACCTTGACTTTTTTTCCCCTTTTTGTTATTTCTTAACTGCTCCAAAAGCTTATTCTTGCTTGGGGGTTCTTTGTACTTGTGCCTTTGCCTGGAATGGTGTTCCAGATATTCTTATGAAGGTGGCCTAGTGGTAACGATCTGTGCTGCCAACCCAGAGGTTCAGATCCACCAGCTGCTCTGTGTGAGAGAGATGGATCGTCTCCTCCTATGCAGTTTAACCCATTGGAGGGTCAGCTGTGAGTGGGTTTCAATCCAGTGACACACAACATCATCACAACTCCCGATTCTTAAGCTTTAAGGAGTTGAAAAACAAAATCAAGCCACGTGTGGCAATACTTAAGGATACTTTGGGTAGAATGTTAAATGATCCAGGAAGTATCAAAAGAAGATGAAAGGAGTACACACAGTCACTGTATCAGAAGGAATTGGCTGATATAGAAGAATTTCATGAAATAACATATGAGCAAGAGTGGTGATGGAGGAGGAAGTTAAAGTTGTTCTGAAGGACTTGGCAAAAAACAAGACTCCAGGAGTTGAGAGCATACCAAAAGAATTATTTCAACAGATGGTACCCTGGATGTGTTCACTAAGTTGTACCAGGAAATCTAGAGGACAGCCAGCTAGCCAGCTGGCCAACTGACTGGAGAAGATCAATATTTGTTCCCATTCCAAAGAAAGGTGACCCAACAGAGTGCAGAAATTATCGAACAGTAAAAAAAAAAAAAAAGGAAAAAAGAAAAAATATCGAACAGTATCATTAATGTGATAATAATCACATGCAAGCAAGATTCTGCTGAAAATTACCCAAAACCATTTGGAGCAATATGTCAACAGAGAACTGCCAGATGTGCAGGCTGGATTTAGAAGAGGTCGTGGTACTAGGGATATTATAACTAATGTTAGATGGATCATGGCAGAAAGCAGAGAATACCAGAAGGATGTCCACCTGTGCTTCATTGACTATGCAAAGGCTTTTGACTGTGTGGATCACAACAAGCTATGGCTGACTCTGAGAAGAATGGGAATCCCAGAACATTTGATTGTGCTAATGAGAAACCTATACTTGGACCAAGAGACAGTCATCAGAACAGAGCAGGGAGACACTACATGGTTCAAAATCAAGAAGGGGGTCCATCAAGGATGTATTTTGTCTCCATACCTTTTCAATCTGAATGCAGAACAGGTCATCCGAGACACTGGACTGTACAAGGAGGAATGTGGCATCAGGATTGGTGGAAGAGTCATCAACAATCTGCGTTATGCAGATGACACAACCCTTCTTGCTGAAACTGAGGAGGATCTCAAGCGCTTGCTGCAGAAGGTTGAGAACTGCAGCCTTCAATACGGATTGAAACTCAGCATCAAGAAAACAAAGATTCTCACCACTGGGCCAATTGGCAGCATCAGTATGGATGGTGAAGAGATTGAGATAGTTAACAGTTTTAGTTTACTTGGCTCCACAGTCAACACTCTTGGTAACAGCAGCCAGGAAATCAAGAGACGAATTGCATTGGGAAAGTCAGTTGTGAGGAACCTCTAAAGAGTACTGAAGTGCAATGACGTCAGGCTGGAGACTAAGGTGCACCTGAACCTGATCCAGGCTATAGTCTTTGCAGTTACATGCTATGCATCAGAGAGTTAGACAGGGACTAGGGATGATAGAAAGAGAATTGATGCCTTTGAGCTGTGGTGCTGGAGAAGAGTGTAGAATATACCATGGACTGCTAGGAGAACATACAGGTTTGTCGTAGAGAGGGTGAAGCCAGAATGCTCCTTGGAGTCAAGGATTCTGAAGCTTCATCTGACATACTTTGGGCATGTTGCAAGGAGGGACTGGTCCTTGGAGAGGGACGCCATGTTTGGGAGAGGGGAGGGATGGCGTAGGAGAGGAAGACCCTCGATGAGATGGATCGATTCTGTGATTGGGATGGTGGGAATGGGTGTGTTGGAGACGAGGTTGGCACAGGATAGAGCGGCATTTAGGGCTCTTGTACATAGGGTTGCTATGAGTCACAAGCAACTCAATGGCATATAACAACAACAACAACATTGAGTGCCTCATTGACCACCTTTCCCATTAAAATGAAAGTCCCACAGGTTTAAGCCTTTGCCATCTTGTCAGAACAGATCCTGGCACCTTATAGATGCTCAGCACAGAGAGGACTATTTGATTAATATGTGAAGCTGGTAGCAATACCCAAGCCAGTCTTGCCTCTCCTACAAAAACCTTGGTTCCTATCTACTGTGGAATACAAGCCGTAAATTATTTGTAGGGTTATTTTCCTCAGTGACCTTGAGTGACAGAAGGTCACAGGCTGTCAGAATCCCTTACTGTGAGAGCGCTTGCCTTGTCTGAATCTCACACACTGTGTTCCATTCGTTTGCAGTTGTCTGACATCTCTCCAATTGGACGGGATCCCTCTGTGTCCAGTTTCAGCAGTTCTACCCTCACTCCCTCATCCACCTGTCCCTCTCTGGTGGACTCTAGGAGTAACTCTTTGGATCAGAAGTAAGTACCCAGATGTCACTCTTTAAGAAGCTGATCTAAAAATCAAGAAAGGTGCCATCTTTCCTCCAGCTCTGGTTCTCAGTGGAGGGCGGCACCCTCCCATGAGGCCACGGTGGGAAGTATAGGTGAGCAAATGGGAAATGAGTAGTTGTGCTGGAGAAGTCTTGAACATACCATGGACTGCCAAGAAAACAAACAGGTGTCTGCTTGGAGAGGGTGAAACCAAATTTCTCCTCGGAGGCTAGGATTTCAAAGCTCCGTCTTAAATACTTTGGGCACATGTCTAGGAGGGAGTGATCCTTGGAGAAGGACATCATGCTCAGAAGGGTGGAGGGATGACACAGGAGAAGACGACTCCAGATGAGATGGATTGATTCAGTGACTGAGGTAATGAGGGTAGGTGTGTCAGAGACTGTAAAGTTGGTACAGGATAGAGCAGGGCTGTTGCACATAGGGTCACTATGAGTGGCAAGCGACTTGACAGCACATAACAACTGGTTTCCAGGTGAAGCTGATGCTCCTCGACAGTGAAAAGTACTCTAGATCCATAGCCCTAGGTGTGGCTGTCTGACTAAAGAGAAACAGAGAAGTTCATGTTCAGAGAACTTGAGAACAGGAAGAGAGACTGTGACTTGGTGTCCTCAGTTGTCCATTTTCATTTTTAACTTCAAAAGTATGACTCCAGTTGAATGTGAAATCCTCTTTTGAAACTAGCATGGATTGTCTGCTGAATGCTCGAGAACCAATGTTGGCAAGGCCTGCAGGGTTCTTCGGGGTACACATTCTATTCCTCCTGGTGGGGTTTTTGACACATTATACATTGGCTTTTACTGAGCCCCTTATTCCCCTAACCTCTCTGTTTTAAAGGACACCAGAAGCCAATTCCCGGGCCTCTAGTCCCTGCCAGGAATTCGAACAGTTTCAGATTGTCCCAGCTGTGGTGGAAACACCCTATTTGGCCCGAGCAGGAAAAAATGAATTTCTCAATCTTGTTCCAGATATTGAAGAAATTAGAGCCGGGTGAGTACCATGCTGACTAAAATGAAAGGTATAAAATGATAAATCAGCAGAGGACTCTACCTGCAGCTCGTCTGTGGGAAGTCATCACTCCAGTCTTGTGCTGACTGAGTTTGGGTGAAAGAGCTGTATGACTATTAGCTGCAATGCGATGCTGTCTCCACACTGGCGGGCGTCACTGTGCCATGCTGTGTACTCCTGCTGCATCGCTTTAATGGATAAGACTATCATCCTAATAGATGGCTTAGTGTAGATGAGACTTGTTCCAGTGGTTTTTTTGCAAGGAAACATACTGCTTCTGTTACTGCCCTTTTCAGCAACGTGGTCTCGAAGAAAGGATACCTGCACTTCAAAGAGCCACTTTCCAGCAACTGGGCTAAACATTTTGTCGTGGTCCGTCGCCCATATGTCTTCATTTACAACAGTGACAAAGACCCGGTGGAGCGTGGGATCATCAACCTCTCCACAGCTCAGGTGGAGTACAGTGAGGACCAGCAGGCCATGCTGAAGGTCAGTCCTGCCCTTTTCTGGTTGTTCATTGCCCTACACCCCAGTTGCTTTGAGGGAACCCTGCTTAGAGGTACATAATTTTTCCCTCATCTCTGGCCACATGAACATTGCCCAGTATCTGTAGTAACTTTCTCCTCTGCTGTGTCTTTCAGACACCTAACACGTTTGCCGTGTGCACAAAGCACCGCGGGGTCCTTCTGCAGGCGCTCAACGACAAAGACATGAACGACTGGTTATATGCCTTCAACCCACTTCTTGCTGGCACAATACGGTGAGAACTGTTTCTGGTTTTGGTTCCAGGGATGTCAGCATAAATAGGAAAGAAATTATTAGCTCTAGACAAGTTGCAAATAGAAGGAAGACAGGAGTGTCCGTACAGCTGCTTGTAGGGTAGTGTCAGAGACTCTGCTTCTCATAAAGTGTAGTCTTGCAACCATTAAAGGGACTGGTCACACTTAGACATGATTAATCTCTTTATGTTCTTAAGGGATTGTAGCTGGGGTCTAGGGGACTAAGTAGAGGGATCTCCCAGTATCCAACCCTGATAGATCCTCTGAGGGCCTGTGTCTTAGGGTCCTCGGGGTGGAGAAGACCACCTATGTACTCAGCAAACCCAGAAATGTGGGCCTGCAGGGCAGACACGGAACTAATACAGAAAGTGCCCACACTCCCACTCTCCCCTCCCCGTTAGGAAAGTCTGCTGTGACCAGCTTCTCCTTGCCCTCTAATCTTATGTAAATTTCCCCTCACATTGAAACAGTTGAACCATTCCCATTCCACAGCAACTCTTCATCACAATCACCTTCACTCACTACCTATGCAGCCTTTAAATCTTGGAAAAGATCTCAAGCTTTTTTTTGCACCAGATCTCACTCATAGTTGTCTGTTTGGTTCCAGGTCATAACTGACACACACTCACCCCACCAAAATCAAGTTCCTGAGGCTCTTAATGAGAGGAGACTGCTTATTGGTCTCCGAAGGAACCGCTGTTCGATTTTAACTGCCAGCCTTTGAGTTAGCAGCAAACCTCTACATGGACTCTGCATTCCAGGCTCCCCTTCTTTTGCCCTAAAGTAGGTCTAAGATCTTTACGCAGCTCTTCCAGTTTACCTACAAAATCAAACTGAAGATACACTTAAGAACAGCTCTTCTTCGTAATCTAAGGAGTGGAGCATTCAGAGAGGGAACCACAGAGGAAAAAGATCTGTGAAGAAATAGCACCTGAAACCAGTTTGCTAATCCTGTCATCTCATCTCTCTCCTACAGGTCTAAACTGTCTCGCAGACGCACGAGCCAGCTGAAGTACTGACTGCACCCTCACACGCCTTCAGAGACAAAGAAAGTGTTACCTCTCATGCTCTTTGTGATTCTTGACGGTTACTCTTGTATGTGATCCTGTGGCTTAACCACCCCCTCCTTGTCCGGCACTCTTCTAGCACCCTTTCCCCCCATCTCCATGGCTCTGGACTCCTTTCTTTTTTCCTGTGCTCAGAATCTTGTTAGTAGCATGTGGCCTAACAAAAGGAAAAAAGAAAACAAAACAAAAAAAAACAAAAACAAACCAAACCCAGAGAGGATCCAGTGAATCTTCCAATTATTTTCTGGTGTAATTTGGCTTCATTTTGTATGATAGGTCCCCATCATGACCACCTCTGATGTCTGTGCTGCTGTCTTTGGCTATCTTTGTCATCTTTCAAAACCACTGTGTAATTTTCCTTCTGATTTACCCTGTTGGTGATGATGATATCATTTTCATTTTTTTTGATTGGCTTCGTGATGAAGGGAAGAAACAGCTGACCTTTCTAGAAACAAAGGGGAAATTCCCTGGTCTCGTTGTCTCAGGCCTGCAAGCTTTCCTTTCAGGGAAATGTGGTGCTGAGCTTAGAAATGGGACATTTAAAAAAAAAAAGAAATGGGACAGTTATCTTCTTTGGGATGAAATTAGGGCTCAGTTAGACCTTAGTGAGGGAATTTCCATTTAGTGCAAGTGAGAAGAAACAGCTTTTTACTAAGTCTCTTAAAAAAGGTATTTCAGATTCAGAAGGACCACAGAATTTGCCAGTGAGACATGAGGGCAGGCAGTTGGAAAGCCTGCAGTTTGTCACACCCAGGATTTCTCTGAACTGTGTTTCTAAGTTTGGAGAGAGACTCTGCAGACTTCTAAATTCTGTCCCTGATGATACACTGTCATACACAAGTATTCCACAAGGCGGCGGTGTTTCACTTGCCTATGCTGAACTTAATGGTCTTTGTGACCTGGTGATTGATTGTTGGAGATCACTTTGATCAGGGGACTGTAGCCTCCACTTGTGAACTTGGAAGTCTGACTCTGAATCTAGTAAATAAACTTGTCAAAGAATAAGAAGCAGTCTCTCTATACTCATAAACATAGCAAGCTCCGCTTTCCTGAACCCAAAACTAAAGCTAATCCCCTACTACCACTTTAATAATAATAGTAACAATACAAGAAAGTACCTGAAGGTGGAGAAGAGTATCTACTTGAGCTCTGACCCTGATATCAGGGCCTGATATTCTCTGCTTGCATCCATCCTGTCTCTCCTGTGCTACTCTTCTCCTCTCGATGGGTTTAGAAATAGTGCAAGAAAAGAAAGGATGAAGCTCTCTGCTGATGGTGTCTCCTCTGGCAGGCCAGGTCTTAGAAGGTGTTTTACTCTCAGCTGCCAGCTGTGCTACAGTAAGGCTGAGGGAGATGCCTCTAAGTGGCTGTTATTTGGTCACCCTTTACTTCCCATATTGCTACCATCCTTTGCCTTCCTTGATGGAGCATCTTTGTCACCATCCCTTGGGAATTTGGGGACTCACCCACATTCCCACCTGGAGGATGCCGGGCTCTTGGCCCTGAGGGTCCTGACTCTCAGATGGTGGAAAATTGGAGGACTGTCTGGTTCAGGCAGCAGAGACCTCAGGCTTCATCCTGCAAGATAGTTGATAAAGAGGCTTGTCACCACCCAAGCCCTGGCTTCTGACCTGACCTGTCTCTTCAGTACAGGTCTCCCAACTGCACTTGTCACAGCTACCTTGAAAAGAGAAGAAAAGGCAGGAATCATGGGCTGAAAAGCGATGAGTAAAAACTGAGGGATTTTTCCCCCCACTTACCTTTCTTCTTTCCTTAAAACATAGGTCACTAACTGTAATGTTACTTGTTTTTCCTTAATGGTATGTGAGATTTTTAAATGTAGGTAGAGTTTCTTCGTTGTTTAATGGACACAGTATGCCCTCTGGTGTATACTCAAACCAGGATCTGTCTATGCATAGAGACTGCCTCCTGGGCTGAATTAAAGCTAATTTCAGGGAAATGAAGATGAAATTGGAAGATTACTTTAAAAATGAATTCACAGATGATGCTGCTGTTAGGAAGTCTGGTAGAAAAACAAAAGACCCAGGTCTGCGGCCAGGGGAACTGGAGAAGGCTGACAGAAAGCGTGTAATAACACTAAAATGACTTTTGGTTTGTCTTCTAACGCAAAACTGGCTTGGGAAGTCTTTGCTTTGAAAGTGTTAGGTATTATTAGAATGAGCCAGACTGGACCATCTGTCCAGAGAAGGCATGTGAGGAAGCCCTAACAAGATGGCAGCCCAGGGGTGCACACAGAATGCTGGGTGGTGTCTGCACCAAGGACAAGTACAGGCAGCCCCTGGAGATCTCCCTGTTTCTTGAGGGGCACATGTTCAAATTGGAGTTGAAACCATCTCAGAATTGATGTGACCTCTCCATGCCAGGCTGTCCCCACGTTGACACTCTCAGAGGGTGCTCATGGCAGGAACTCTGCCTGTAACCGTAGTCTCAGTGGGAAAGTTAAATTTACTTTTGAAGAATATATGAGTTTATTTGTGCCTAATGCATTTCTGATTAATCCTAACATCTTTTAAACAAAGGGAATAAATTAAACAAGGATAAAAAATGCTCATGAAAATTGAAATGAGTACCCTGTAACTATTCGTGTCTTCCTCCCCTCAACTCCTGCTGGAGAACATCTCAGCCTCACCACACAGAGCTCACAGGCCCGGCCCTCCTGACTGTATCCTGGTCTGGGGGTCAGTCAGCCTTCAGGCCCCAACTGTGCATAGGGCCAGCCAGCCCAGGCACACAGGCAGGCAGGGGACAGCCACTGTGGCACCGGGCCGGTCCCTCAACCCAGTGCTTGGTTACAGAGTGGTTTCTCAACCAAGAAACCAGCCTCTTGTGGTGGTGATGTTTATATTGTTCTTCTTCAGTTACATAGAATTTACACAACTAGCCATATTTTATATGGCTTTTTCCCAGCTCTCCTTAAGGAATAAATTAAACCACTATGAATGGACTTGGTGTATCCAAAAGTACGATGACTTTTCCTGGCACATGTTTCAAAGCAAAGACTTTGTTGCCTGCTGCTTATTATCTGATTTACAGGGATATTTAATTTTGTAAGGTATATGTATATTTATACAGCTGTAATTAACTGCACAGTGGACTGGAAAAGAGTATTCTCTTGTGTGTAGCATGATCGGTACTCGGCATTTCCCTCGTGTTGGGTCCCCCTCAGGCTCTCCTGGACAGAATCAGGGGCTTCTCTGTCTTTCTGCCTGGGTCCTTCATTTTTCCTTTCAGTTCCCTTTGAAAAATGTGATTGTTAACCTGCTCCTTAAAAAGCCAAGACTGATTCTGCTCCCACTGTCAGCAGGGTGCTGAGTGTCTGGGCAACAGGCCTCTGACGCTTGCGCACTGCAGCTCTGTCCTCTGTGGCCACGGAGTCAACCAGGCTGAGGGCCGGGCCGACTGTGTGAAGCAGGAACGTCTTCATTTGTGCTTCCTTAGCAAGTTGAGATAGCAACGGAGAGATTATTTGATGTTGTTCAAAAGGCCATTTATGGATTAGGACTTGAGCCCTACAAAAATGGAGGACAGTCTCCTGTCATTTAAAGAGTAAATGATAATTGGTACAAGATTCACATTCAACACTCAGAGCCACATGGCTGTGCTCAGATGGGAAGTCCGAGCTGAGGTTGGTCTCTTGGAAGCCCTGGCTATTGTGTGTTGTTTATTCGTGTCTCAGAGATTTTTTTTTCCTTCATGCTGCATATTCTAATTCATTGACCGAGGAACCCATCAGTCAGCCTTCTCACATTGAGGGTGTCGTCTCCGACTCTGTGGCTCCAGAGTCCTCGTCTGTTGAGAGTCACGTCTCTTGTCACCATCCTCATGCACCACAACAAAACCCGTGAAGCATAAGTGGCCTTTTTGAACCAAGATTTTTGCAAACTGATCTCTCCCCAGTGAAGGAGTTGAGCACATTAGCAACAATGTACATTATTAATTTCTGATTTTCATTTTCATGTTTTATTTTGTAAATATTACCTGATGTTTGGAGCTTGAGTATACAGAATGTAAATATAGTTCTTGTATTTGTACTAATTCTGATTCTTTGCTATATATATAGCCTTAGGTGTGCAATGCAGACATTATCTAACTGTGTATGGTAACCTAGCATCACAGAATTATTAGTGAACGAGGTAAAAATAATAAAGGTACAGCCAGTGCATCTGAGGCTCTTGGTGTGCATTTGTTGTTGTACTCTTCGAAGGTCTTGACCCAAGGAAGTCTTTTCTTGACGTGGGAATACAGTGCCTTCCTGAGAAAAGTGGTGGTGCTGTGACCTGTGTATTCTTCTCCGATGTGCAAAACAGTGGTTATTGTATAATAATGGTGTATGTATAATGGTGTAGTGTATAAAACATGGTGTCATTTCTTTGGGAAACTACCTCCCAACCGAATCTGGAAGTGACATTTTAACTGGAAGGTTTGCCTTTCCCCCATCATCCCCCATCATCTCATTACATACCTGCTGCTGATTCTGGAGTGTTCTTGTGGGGCTTTAAAATCACTGTGTCTACTTAATAAGCACCGTTGCGGCAGAGCACCAGCAGGGAAGACTGGCCTGGGTGCTTGTGGAGAAACAGAAGGTGGGGAAGAGGAACAGCATTCAGGGAGAAAGCAGCAATGCATTCACTGCCGTTAAATGCACTGCACTGCACAGCCCTCCATTCCCCTGGAGGATGGCACTCGTGAAGCAGAGCTGCAGTGTCGTGTGCCAAGTTTTGCAGGAAGAAGGAAAGCTGCCGCTTAGACTGTGACGGGAAGTCCTCCTTAGAAGATGACAGTCGAACAGCCTCCTCTGTCAGAGGAGGCCGACCCCGGGACAGAGTGTCCTCCAGCAGCACGCAGAGCCCTAGGCAGGAGTGTCCTCAGGAGATTCACAAGGAAGGTAAAGCTGATGTGTGGCGTGACCTGAGGGGCAATAGAGGACATCA